AACTGGGCGCTTGGGAACTGGTTCCACACAGGCGCCTAGTAGAGGCGGTTTCGTGCACTCAAGCCAGTGGTGCTGTTTTGGTGCCTTTATTTGATTTCTTAGTCCCTAAGAGGGCCCCAGGACCCTCCCTACTTTGGACCTATCAAAGGTATTGGAAGGCCCGCTTTCTTGACCCCGCCCACTAACCCTAGAGCCACGCCTTCCCCTTCCTGCTCCCAGAGCTTCGCTTCACCCCTCTCTGCTGTTTTCAAATGCCCCGACTCCTCCCTGCAGGAGAGCAACCCCGAGCCTCTGAGCACCAGAGAGTGGCCCTGCGCATCCCCACTTACACTCGACCGTCAGCGTCACGTCCTTGACCGCCTCTCCCTGGACATTGACCGCGGTGCAACGGTAAGTGCCGGCGAGTGCACGAGTGATCGGCCCCAGCAGGCCCAGCGCCAGCACGGCCCCACCGTCGAGCCGCGCGCAGTGAACCGAGGGCTCCGGGTTTCCGCGGGCCTCGCAGCGCAGCGTTTGCTCGGGACCCTCTGGCCACGTCCAGTTCCTGGGACAGTCCCAATCTTCCAGCCGGGGTGCGTCTACGGGCGGGGCGGGAGTGGGGGCGTGGAATACAGTCGCTACCTATGGACCTGGGGTATTGAGGCCTTGCTCCACACGGCCTGGGTATGATTCTTGGCGATCACGCACGAGGAGAGAGGAGGAGGCCAACTCACAGAGTACGCGCAGATGGGCGCTGGCATTCTTGCGCACGACCTCCCCATCCACGTCCAGAGCGGCCTCACATTCGAAACTGCGCCCGTCGTCGATCTCCGTGGCGTTTAGTTGGAGCTGGGCGGGTTGCCCTGGGACCGCAGCTGGCACGCCATCCAGTGTGATGAGGGCTCCGGGTCCGGCTAAGCAGGTCACTGTCACTACTGTCCCCTCGGGGGCACTGGGTTCGCTCAGGGTCAAGCGGGGCCCTGGGAAGCCTGGGGGCGGGGCCTGGGGCGTTAGTCTACTGAACCCTGCGGGCTAAGACCTCCCCTTACGCGACCGCACCTTCCCGACACCGCGGGAGATCCTCATGGGTTTGCGACCCTCCCGGTCTCCCACCACCTTCAGATTCTGGATTCCCAGACTCTCGCCTCCATCTGCCCCGCCCCTTCAGACCCTCAGACCACGCCCACTCCTGCAAGGACCCGCCTGCTCTTCAGTCAAGCCCCGCCCACCCTGTCCTCCTGCTCTTTCCCCAGGCGTGCAGTCTCCGCTTACTGTAGACCGTCACGTTCTCTCTGCTCTCCCTGCTCTCGCCCCCTAGGGTCACGTTGCAGACCAACTCCCTGGTGCCCTCCTGCTCCGTGCTTGCTGTAGCGGTGGCCGCGGCCAGGAGCGCCTCCTCTTCGAGGGTCACATTGGGACTCAGCCTCCGGTTGCCCAGCGCCAGGTAGACCCCAGCCTCCGAGGCTGGAAATAGTCCCTCCAGGGCGCAGCTCACGAGCCTCTCTGAGCCCACTTCCAGGAGGCGGGGGCCGGTGAGGCGCGGCGGGTCGGGAGATAGGACTGGAGAGTGGAAAATAGGAACCACTCAGAAATGCGCGACGCGCCTTCCGGGCGCTCTTGACATCCTCAAGTCACGGGGGAGAAAACAAAATGACTCTGGCTGGTGACAGCTGCATTCGAATTCCGATTTCCTCTGCCTTTCGACTTTTTCAGCACCCGCCCTGCGGCTCCCGGTCCCCCTTATTCCCGCTTACCAAAGGTTCGCAGCTCTCTGGGGGCCGAGCTGTTTTCAAACAGCCCCAGACCGTGAGGCCGCAGGTCCAGCTCGGCGCGGCAGGAGAAGTTGGCCCCGTGGTCCTCTCTCCGCGCCAGGACCGTCGCCGTGAGCATCGCGCCCCGTGTTCGGGGTGGCTCCCCGGCGAAGCTGCGGCGGATCAGCTCCTGGGCGCCCCGGAGCAGGATCAGAGTGAGGCTCCCACGGGGCCCGGCGCCGGGGACCCTACAACTCAGCGTGAAATTCTCGCCCACGGGCTGCCAGGAGGGCAGCGGCATCAGCTCCACTAGATCGGGTCGCTCTGCACGGAGGGAGCAAGGGCTGTTGGGAAACTCCGGGACTTGGCGGCGGTACGCAAGGTTGCGCCCCCCGCCGTCGGGGGCGTGGGGATCCCGGGGGTGGGGCCTAAGGGGAGGCCCCCGTGACCCGGGAGGCGGGGCCGGGGAGGGACGCGATGTAGTGGAGTCCCAGCGCGGCCGCCGACAACTCACGGTAAGTGCGAATGAGCCCACGCGCCTGCAGCGTGCGCCGCGCGCAGCGGAAGAAGCAGACGGGCTGCGTCTCAGGCTCGCGGATGTCCACCAGCTGCCGCGCCAGCCAGCGCAGCCCCCGCTGGGTCCCGTTCCGGCGCAGCGAGGTCTCCAGGCCGCCCCGCTCGGGGCGCGGGCAGTTGGTGCTGCAGTTCAGCCACAGCGACCCCCCGCGCTCCACGAGCGCCACGCGGGGCTGCAGGTCCGCCCAGAAGGGCTCCTGGGCGCGCGCTGCCCGGGGAGAACACGGGTTCAGCCCGGGTCAGGGGAACCTCACCTCCCTGGGATCTCAGAGCCCCCCTCTGCCGAGGCTGGAGGCCCCTGCCCAGGGTCCAAAGCTCCAGGGTGCCTCCAAGGAGTGGAAAGAGGAGAGAAAAGCACAGGGCCGGGGAGGGAGGGAGGGAGAGTAGAGGCCAGATGGGTTTCGGAGCTGCGCTCAGCTGCACTTGGAGGAGGGGACGGGGTAGGAGAGGGCAGTGACTTGGGGCTGACTTAAGGAAAAGGACAGATAACAACAGCTGGAGAGCTGGCACAGGCGAGAGGCGCTGGTTTTGCATGCAGGGAACCCCGCTTCAACCCCTCGCCACTGGAGCGACCCCAGGGTAAAGAGGATGGATTTGGGCTCAAAAGCCAAAGAAAAGACAGAAAACGCTGACACGAGGCTGGGCTCCCGGGTGGAAGCGGCGGGAAGTGGAAAGATGAGGCTACCAGAGCGCCCGTGCTGCCCCCTAGTCCCTACAGTTGGGAAGATGGGGTCTCCGCGGACCGCGAGTGGGGGAGATGCCAAGTCCGGTCACCGGTCACCGTGATGCAGATCAGCGCGCGAGGTGGGACGGATGGGGTGTGGGGGAGACGAGAGACATGGGGGGTGAAGTGGACGGCAGGGTTCGAGGTTTGGGGCGCGGAACAGCACCCAGAATCTCCAAGGGGATAGGGCGAGAGAGGGGAGTGTGTGTGTGTGGGGGGGGGGGAAGCTGGGTCCCCAGCGTATGTGACCTGGAGGAAAGAGGGAGAGAGCTTGGAGAAGGCACCGGGTTCAAGGGGGGTGGGGAGAAGACGCGTGGAAGCGAGGTGAGGGCGGAGCTAGGCTGAGGGCTTGTGACCGCTGCTCGGGTGCGCGATCTCCGCCCCCCGCCGCCGTGTCCACCCGGAGCCGGTCCGGCTCTTACCTGAGAGGCCGAGGAGCCCCAGGCCCAGCGCAGCCCAGAGGCCGAGCAGCGCCCGGCGCAGCCCTGGCGAGGGCCCTGGCATCGCCGCGGCGGGGGAAGCGCACGCAGGAGGCGAGGGGAGCGCGAGCGCCGAGCTGGGCAGGAGGACGGCGCGGCGCGGCGGGTGGGGTGTGGAGGAGGCTGAGCCCCGCGCGGGGATTGGTTTAACGTTGGTAACTTGGTTTCCAAGGAGGGGGCGGCGGCAGAGGCGGCGGGGGGAGGTGGGGTGGCGGGAGGGTGAGCGTGCGCCAGGCATTGGGTCTCGCCGGGGGAAGGCAGGAGCGAGCGACCCCTGGGGTTTACATGGAGGCCGATCCCACCTCCGTTCGGGCCTGCTGGGGGCCGCCGCCGCGCGCACCCGCGTCATCCCGGCCGCGGCGCAGAGGTCGGGGGCGCGGGGCTGCCCTTCTCGAAACCCCCACCCCACCCTGAGCGGGGATGCTCGGCTGTTGAGCCCGACCGGGAGCCCCGCCTCCGTGCCGGGCCCCTCCCGCCAGCGACGCTGGGAGGCGGGGATTGCTGCGGAACCGATCGGAGAGCTTTGGGAGATGTAGGGGGCCGTTCTAGGGGGGAAGGGACCCATCTAAGGGAGGAGGGTGAAGCCAGCCCTGGGAGCTTGGGAGCCCGAGGGGAGCCGCCACGCCCCCGGTTCCCCTCCGGCTCCGCCCCCGCACGCGACAGCGGAGGCGGGGACCGAAGTGGCTGCGAGTCGGGGACACGTGCGCGCGTGTGCGCGCAGCGTTTGCGGGCTTCTAAATTCGGGTCGACTCGGCGCGGGGGTTTGTATTTACCCAGCGTGCAGCGGGCACGTGTCTCCCCGGCGTGTGTGAGCTCGGGTGGCCGAGGAGCGCCCCCCTGAAGCGGCTTTCTCGCGCGGCGGGCGGGGCGGGGGAACCCCGCATGGCTCGGGCCTTGTCAGGCGATCTAACGCGGGTCCCGCATTCTGTGTCCACTCGAGACCAAGAGACTCACCGACCACGCAATTAGGCCACGCATTCATTTGGATCCCCGCTTCAAGTGTTGACATCCCCACGTGCCTGGCAGACCAGGTGACTCCCCACCTCCCCGGACATTGCCGAGTCGCGAGCCTTTATCCGGTTCCCCCCGCCTTCCTCCACCCCCCCCTCACACACACACGTGTGCACCATCTGACTGCACCTTCCCGGCAACAAGCAAGTCCCGCAATATTTCCAGGTAGTCCCAGCACGAAGGAACTGGGAGAGATCCATTTCCCTCGCCCTCAGCCCCTCCTGCTGGAAAGCACCGTGTCTAAAGGGATGGTGGGTGGGTGGGGAAAAATGGGAAAGAAAACTTAGCATCCAATCAGAGCTGCTACGAGGTGGCGGCGGAGCCAATCAGGAAAAGCCATGGGCTATGGACACGCCCCCGCCCAAACCTCGAACCTGCTGGTCTGCGCCGCGCTGATAATATCGCCCCACCACCCCCGGGAAAGATGTCTCCTACTGCTCCCGGCTGGGAATAGAGGGACCGGGGCTCCCCAGCACCCCAGGTGACCCAGAGTAAGAAACCCTCAGGTGCCGTCAGGGATGCCGGAAGTTAAAGCGGGGAGTCAGAGGGGAGACCCCTTCCTCGCGGGAGGGATATCTGTGGGGGACCTTGAAGCCCCGAGTTCGATGCTGGCTGTGGAAGGCTTTATTGATCTGGTGACCAAGGGCACCCCCAAGTTGCCATTTTTCCATTCTGCTCAGCTGGCCTGGACCAACTCTTCCTCTATGCCCGGGGCTGCATCAGCAGACACTTTCGTAGGTAGGCGACCCCCACGAACAGAAGGATCCCCGCAAGGACAGCGATGGAGAGGGACGCTAAAGCTTGGGATGCGGGGTGCCAGGCTGGGGGGTGCAGGAGGTGAGAATTAGGGACAGGGCAGCTGGAACCCTCAGAAGCGTGATGGATGGCGGGCTGGGAGCTCGTCTCACCCCCTGCACCATCCACACCCTCCAGCCCCCCGCGGTTTCCAGGGGCGTCTCACCGAGGGCTGTGAGCGTCACGGGCGCCGAGCTGCTGCGGATCACCAGGCCATCGAGGTTCAGGCGCGCGTGGCAGGTCACGGGCAGCCCCAAATCCAGGGGCCGGGTGCGCAGCACGTAGGTCAGCGTTACGTTGGCCAGGTCCAGCCCGGTGAAGCGCTCCAGGCTCTCGGAGTAGAGCAGGCGGCCGCCGCGCCGCAGCGTCACGGCCAGGAAGCCCACGGGGAACACGTGCGTGACGTGGCAGCGCAGCGTGTACTCGCCGCCCTCCAAGACCGGAGCTTCCAGGATCACGCTGCGCGGCCGTTCTAAATCGAGAGGTGGGCGGGGAGAGGGGGTGTCCCCGACCGTTTGAGCCACGTCCAGGGGCTCCCCCTGGCGTTGCGAGCGCAGCCCCCCCCCCCACTATCCCGCCCCCTCCTCCCGCCCCCGCCACGACCTCCCACCCGTCTCGACAACTCCGGCCCCTCACTGTAGGCGGTTATCCTGGCCGTGGCCCCCCGCGTCTGTCCCGCGCAGGTCACGAAGCAGTGCGCCACGGAGCTCCAGGCCCGCACGTCCAGCAACTGGTAGGACACCCAGCCGGGCCCCTGCAGCGTGTCCCCGCGCCGCAGCAGGCTGCGGAGGCCCCAGTCTTCCGGCAGGGGGCAGCTGCTGCTGCAGTTGAGCCAAACGGAACCCCCGGGCGGCACGGCGGTGTATTCGGGGCTCAGGCGCACCCAGAACGGCGCAGGGGCCCCCGGGCGCGCCGGAGGCGGATCGCCGGTGGGGGCCGGTGCCCGCACCGTCCAGTGCCTTTGCGGGCTCCTGCCTCCCGGGTAGGCGGCGGCCCGCAAAGCCAGAAGCAAGAGGGGCAGCAGAGACCCCATGACTGGCAGGCGGAACTGAGGGGGCCCTGAACCGGATGGCCCAGGCTGGCTCGAGAGATAAGGAGGCCCTCACCCCGCCTCGTCTGCCCCACCCCGGGGAGGCTCGGAGGCCCCCTAGAGGACCTAGGAACCCGGCCATACCTGACTCCCATCCACCCCAGCCCGCCCGTCACCCCCCACCTCGCTGCGGGAGGGTCCAGACCCCTGGAAGAACAACGGCCATCGCGAGTCTTTGTAGAAAGTTTTAATTTTCACGAAAAAGCTGCTCACCAGCTCGGGATTTTGGCTCAAGCCTCGGGGCTGGCCTTGGCCAGCAGCCTCTGTTTGTGAGAGGAAGTGGGGGGCAGAAGGGTTGCAGCTGGGGCCACAGGCGCTTCCAAAGCGCGCCAGGGCGGGGGTGCAGGCGCACAAAGGCGAGGTTTCCGGCGCAGGGCGGACCTCTCCAGACTCTCTTCCTCCCCTTCCGCGGGGCCTTCATCATGCCAGCATTAGGGAACAGCCTGAGTATTCTGGTGTGATTCCAGGAGGTGTAAGTCCGTCCGCCCGTCTGTGGGTCAAGGCAGGGACTGGGGACCCTTTCCTGAGACTCTGCAGCTTGGTGGCCCCGGGAGTGGACAGGGATAAAGGCTCACATACTGTGTGGTGGCAGAACGGGGTCCAATCCTTGGCATAGGGTCCAAGTAGAGCCATAAGCAGCCCCTCGGAGTACTGCCAGGTATGGCCCCGAAGCCAAAAAAAAAAAAAAGCAGAGAGGAAAATCCTGCCCCGACTGTCATCAAGAGCATATGCAGAAGGCCTGATTGGTCACCTTCAAAGCAGGCAACCCAGGTTCTAGCTCAGGTACCCTGCAGGGTCCCCCTAGCCCGCCAGGGGTGATCCCGAGCACAGAGCCAGGAGGAGTCAGCTCTGAGCACCTCCAGGTGTGGCCCAAAAACCAAAAATTGAAATGGATTTTTTAAAAAATCAGAACACTAGCAGAGATGTATCTGGGTGGTGCGCTGGTGTCCTGGGGGTCTGGGGGAGAATTAGAGCCCAGCAGTTCATCTCCAGATGTCACCAGCTCAACCATGTCACCATGGCTCAGCTCCTGAAGCGTAGCAGCTGGGCCAACCATGGGAATTCCAGCCCCACCATCTTTGGGCCTGTCACCTTGTGCGGTGCACAGCCTGGACCACTGTGCCTGACAACCCAGAATGAGATTAGACCAGGGGAAGGAAGCTAAGTTCCTCCTGTTGACTGTGCTAGCCCATACCAAAGACAATAAATAGCTAGGAAAAGAACAAACGAATAAATATGTCATCGGGAGTCAGAGAGAGGGAACAGCAGGCATCAGTCAAGACGAAGGACAGGAATTTGTATTTTGGTACTGCCTGGACTGGCCTGGAGCCATTTCCTTAAACCCGAAGGACCCGGGCACACGTAAGAGGAATGGGTCGCAATCTACTCGCTTGCCTGCCAGGGGAGTCCCCATTATTGGAGGCATATGGCTCCCCGATGTGTCACTGGCCAGGTGTGATTTGGTCACCCCTAAGTCCTGTCCCCTTCTCTTGGCCCAATCCTGGGGTGGCAGTGGGTGTGAAGTCTAGGGGTCCTTTCTGTGGTCCCAGGTGTTGTCTGCGTTTCCACGAAGGTCTCTCTCCTGTCCCCGGAGATCTTAGGGAAGGGGTTGTATCTGTGTCTGTCCTCTACTGTTCATTTCAGTTCCGGGCCACCGTGGTGGGGGCTAAGCGGGCAGCCGTCCCTGGGCGGGCTCAGGGGGGTGTGGCCGCCAATTTCTGCTTCAAGGCTGCCCCGTTCTGGGCCTTCTGGAGCTTGTATTCCCTGATCTTCCGCTGCCGGTTAACCCAGTATGCTATTGTGGCCACAGTGGCCAGGAATGCCAGCACTGTCAAGGTGATGATGATGGGTACGTGATTCCTAGGTTTCGCTACAAGGACAAAGGGGCAGAGGGTGAGGGTGGAGCCGGCCGGACCTGGCCTTAGTCCAGCCCCAAGCAGCATCCCGCCCACCTTGGCCCCACCCCACTAATATTCCAATTAGCCCCTCCCCTGTATGATGCCCACCCCTGATCCCACCCCCAAGGTGCTGCCACTCACAGATCACAGTCAGGACCACTTCCGTGGTGATCATGCCCTGGGAGCTGCTGGCTCGGCATACGTAGGTGCCTTGGATGTCCTCCTTGACAGGCCTGAGGTCCCCAATGGGCAGCGGAGACTTGTCTTCCTTCCGGAGACACTCCAGCTGGGGGTTCGGGTTCCCCCGGGGCTGGCACCTCAGGGTCTGATGGGAACCTTCGTCCAAGGTCCAGTTCCGTGGGCAATCGCTGGGGTCCAGAAAGGGGCCGTCTGGAGGGAGAGCGAGAAATGAGGGGCCCGCTGCGGACCTGTCACACCCCGCCCCATCGAGAGATGCAGGAATCAAAAGGGCTGGGGGGACTGGAGGGCGGTGAGGCCGCGCGGCCTGAGGCCACTCACACAGGACGTTCAGCCTCCGCGTCTGGTTCTTCTGTAGCCACTGCCCAGCGACCTCCAGCTGGGCAGAACAGGAGAAGGCCCGCCCGTGGTCCTCTGCGCTGGCGTTGAACGTGCGTTGGGCACTCCGGTTGCCATATGAGACGCCGTTCAGCGTCACCAGTGTTCCGGGCTGGGCCTCGCACTCCACGGTCACCGAGGTCCCTTCGGTGACCTCTGGCGGGTTCAGGGTCAGGTTGGGAGTCCGGAAACCTAGGGGGCGGAGCAAAAATGAGCCACGCCCGGTTGGCCACGCCCCTTGCCCTGGCCACGCCCCATGGTACTTACTGTAGAACCTCAAGGTCTTGGAGTGCTGCCGCACCTCTGTGCCCAGCGTCAGTGTACATTTCAGCTGCTGCTCCCCCTCCTCGGCTGCCTCTACTAGGGCCCGCGCCGAGATAAAGTCTTCGTGGTACGTGGTCATGGTAGGCAACTGGACATCGCCCAGCACCAGTTCCACCCCAGCCTCCGACACTGGGAACAGCCCGTCCAGGGTGCAGGCTACTCGCCACTCCGTGCCCACTTCCACGAGCGTGGGAGCTTCAAGGCTCGGGAGGGTCTCGGGCAGGACTGGCAAGAGAAGGGTGGGTGTGTGAGAGTGGAAACCCTAAATGCCATTTCTGGGGCATTTTCTTCTTTCCTTTCTTCTTTGCTTTTTGGGGGACACACCCTGCGATGCTCAGGCTTTACTCCTGGCTCAGGAACTACCCCTGGCAGTGGTGGGGGAGTGGAGGACCCTGTGGGATTCCCGGGATCCAACTTGTTCAAATGTCCTGCCGGCTGTACTATCACTCCGACCCTGCCTGGGGCATTTTCATTCCCACACGCAGTATCCTCTTCCTTAGCGCCCTGCCATTCCATGACTCATGTAACCCTAACTCCTTGTCACAGCCTTATAGGATCCTACAGCCAGGATACCCCACCCCAGAGCCCCAAACATGCTCTTCCCAGACGCCTTTGCATCTTAGGTCCCCAGTTACCCTGGAAGGGATTCCCAGTGTCTCACCGAAGGTTTGCAGCTGCCTGGGGACTGAGCTGTTCTCGAACAGTCCCAGCCCTACGGGGCGCAGGTCCAGTTCCGTGCGGCACGAGAAATTGGCGCCGTGGTCCTCGCGGCGCGCCTGCACCGTGGCCGTGACCTCCACCACGTCAGCGGGAACCCCTGGCACAGGCTGCCGGCTCAGCTCCTCATCCCCGCGGAGCAGCACCGCTGTGAGGTTGGACCGGGGCGCCCCTCCCGCTACCTCGCATCTCAGAGTGAAGTTTTGGCCCACGGGCTGCCAGGAGGGTAGCGATGCCAGGGTGACAGTCTCTGGGAACCCTGAAAGCCGGGAGAAACCCAGGAGAGTGTCGGGTGAGCTGCTTGGCCCCGCCAGCAAGGGACGCTACTACGCCAGCCACCTCCACCCTCCCTCCTGTCCCATTCCCAAAAATTCCTAAATTAGAGACCAGGACTAAGAACTTCAGCCTAGGAGCCAGAGTGATAGCACAACGAGTAGGGTGCTTGCCTTGCGTGCGGTCAGTCCCAGTTTGATCCCCGCACCCCACAGGGTGCGCCCGAGGACCTCCAGGAGTGATTCTGGAGCACCACAGTCTGACCCAAACACCCCTCCTCGTGTCCCTTTAAGTAAGCACAGTAAATTTAACTTGTCTGTTCCATTAGAGATTTGTTTTGTTTGGGGGCCACTTCCGGTGATGCTCAGGGCTTGCTTCTAGTTCTGCTCAGGAACCATATGTGGTTCTGCAGATAGAACCCCAGGGAAGACGTGTGCAAGACAAGTACCCTACCCGCTGTGGTCTCTCTACAGTCCCTGGCCCTCCAGGCGCCTGCCCCTAAGGAAAAGAAGTTCCAGAATGTTCTGGGTGATGCCCTGTAAAGAAGAGCTTGAAGGCACAAACCACCGTGAACCTCCCCTGAGGGCTGGGGTTTCCCAGGCTGAGATCTTATTCTGCAGCTAGCCCAAACTGCAGCTAACCTGAGGGAGATAACACAAGGCTGACATTAGTTCAATCCCTGGCCCTGCAGAGACACCCCTAGGGGTCCTTCCTGAGCATAGAGCCAAGAACAGCCCCTAATCACTGCAGGGTATAACCCTAAACCCGCCTCACCCCACCCCCAAATTCGCCTGGAGTCCAGGAGAATATAACAGAGCCCCGGAGGTACAGTACCCCACCCAGGGTCCCTGTGAACTGTCCTCTATCTCGCCTCTGGAAGACCCTGAAATGTCCCTCGGAAATGCTGTTAAAGGGGGCGGGGGCTATATTGATAGCACAGTGGGTAGGGCACTTGCCTTGCCTGTGACTGACCCGGGTTCGGGCCCAGCACCCTGCAGGTCCCCCTGAGCACTGCCAGGAGTGATCCCTGAGTGCAGAGCCAGTAAGGCCTGAGCACCACCAGGTGTGGCGTGAAAAGACATTAAAAAAAAAAGGGGGGGTCAGAGTGATAACACAGCGGGTAGGGCGTTTGCCTTGCATGCGGCCAACCCGGGTTCAATCCCCGGCATCCCATATGGTCCCCAAGCATTGCCAGGAGTAATTCCTGAGTGTAGAGCCAGGAGTGACCCCTGAGCATGGCTGGGTGTGACCCAAAAAGCAAAAAATAAATAAATAAATAAAAATTTAAAAAATTTTAAAAAAGGGGGGGCTGGAGCAATAGCACAGCGGGTAGGGCGTTTGCCTTGCACGCGGCCAACCCGGGTTCGATTTCCAGCATCCCATATGGTCCCCCGAGCACCGCCAGGAGTAATTCCTGAGTGCAGAGCCAGGAGTAACCTCTGAGCGTCGCCGGGTGTGACCCAAAATGCAAAAAAAAAAAAAGGGGGGGGGTGGGGAGCTAGAGGAAAGGATAGAGGGGAGGGCACTGTCTTGCATGTAGCCAACCTGGGTTCACCGTCTGGCACCTCATATGGTCCCCTAAGCTCTGTCAGGAGTAATCCCTGAGTGCAAAGCCAGGAGTAAGCCTCAAGCACCACTGGGCATGGCCCCGAAACAAAAAGAAAGAAAACAAAACCAGAAAAAGTGTGTGTGTGTGTGTGTGTGTGTGTGTGTGTGTGTGTGTGTGTGTGTGTAGGGGCCAGAGAGATAGTACAGCAGGTGTAGCCGCCACTATATATGGTACCCCCAAGTCCCACCAAGAGCTCAGGTCAAGGGGCTGGAGCGATAGCACATTGGGTAGGGCATTTGCCTTGCATGCGGCCAACCCGGGTTCGATTCTCAGTATCCCATATGGTCCCCTGAGCACCGCCAGGAGTAATTCCTGAGTGCAGAGCCAGGAGGAACCCCTGTGCATCGCCGGGTGTGACCCAAAAAGAAAAAAAAAAAGAGCTCAGATCAGGCTCCTAAGTGCAGAGTCCTGAGCAGTCCTGGGCACTGTCCCAAATACACACACACACACACACACACACACACACACATGCTAAAAAGAGAGGGGGGAGACCTAGAGAGACAGTCCAGGGTTAAGGCACTTGCCTTGCTCAAGCATGAGGGTGATCTCAGCAACCCATAAGTTCCTCTGAGCACCCCCAGTAGTGCCCAGAAAACTGGGATGTGGCTCAAGAAAATAGAGAACAGAAACAGAAAGAGAAAGTAAGTGTGGAGCAGAAGGACTGGAGATAAAAGTCCAGCAGGCTCACAGACCTGAACCTGCAAACCCCATCCCCCCCTTGTGAAAATGAAGCCATACCCAGCAGTGCTCAGGGCTGACTCCTGGCTCTGCACTCAGAAGTCTCTCCCAGTGGTGCTCAGGGGACCCTCTGGAATGCTGGGGATGGCACCTGGGTTGACCTCATGCCAGGCTGGCGCCCTCCCTGATTGGGGCCAGCCAAATTTTGCCTGCACAGAGGGGAGCCCTTTGTTGGGCTTTGAAGGACGTGCAGGCCCAGATGGAACTCACACCAGGCCAGACTTAGGGGGGAAGCAGGACCCGTCCTGGCCCACAGGCTCGTGGGCATGGTCCCAGCAGGAAGCCCACGGACAGCCCTTTGCAGGGCTGTGCTCAGCAGTGACACATGGCAGTGCCAACCAGAACAGCTGCTGCAAAGCCAAGGGCTCTTCCGCCCGCACTCTCGGGGTTCAGGAACCCGAAATTCAGCACTGGGGTGATGGGATGTGGGAGCAAAGGTCAGGGGCCAATTAGTGGTAAGGCAAGCCACACCTCACTCTTGTGCCCAGAGGTGCCAGGAATTGAACACAGGGCCTGCGCCCTGGGGCCCTCAGCTGCTATCGGGTCCACTCGGCCAGGAGAGCAAAGTCCCAGCCCTGCCTGGTGGCCCCTTGCACCCCCCAAAGTCCTTGCACTGCCTTTTGCTTTGGGGCTACACAGGCGACGCTCAGGGCTGACTGCTGGCTCTGCGCTCAGAAATCACTCCTGGCAGGCCTGGGGGACCCTATGGGGTGCTGGGGATTGAGGAGGGTGGGCCGCATGCAAGGCAAACACCTTTCCCACTGTCCTATGACTCCAGCCTCCTGGTTCAGAGCCTGAATTGAGCCATGCTGGGGACCGCTGGGGCTGCCCAGGCAGCAGTCTGGATGCCATGGGGTACTGTGGACTGAATCCAGAGACTAGTATATGCCCGGCAGATGCCCTTTGAGTGGCTTCCAGGCCTGCTACTTTGATGGGAAAGAGTTTTCAGCTTTGTCCACGTGTAGTAAATAAGAGGATCTGGGGGCTGGAGTAATAGCACAGCGGGTAGGGCGTTTGCCTCGCACGCGGCAGACCCGGGTTCGATTCCCAGCATCCCATATGGTCCCCTGAGCACAGCCAGGAGTAATTCCTGAGTGCAGAGCCAGGAGTCAGCCCTGAGCATCGCTGGGTGTGGCCCCCAAACAAAACAAGCAAAACACTTGGCAGTTCCTCAAGTTCCATCACAGGAGCGATCTAGGGGTGGGGGGGTTCCCAAGGACACCCCTGCAACCCCCACATCCGAAGTGAGTCTCTCCTTGGCTGTCCAACCTGCTGGGGACACCCTCCCCCCGCCCAGAGTGCTCGGACACTCACAGTACACAGTGATGGACACGCGTTGCGAGTCCTGTTTGCCGCAGTTGGAGAAGCATATGGGCCCGCTGTCCTCCTGCACGTCACTCAGCAGAAACGTCTTCCACGTGGCGCCGTGGGCCACCTCCTGCTTGCTCAGCGGCGTCTCCAGGCCCAGCGAGGAGCAGGAGTCGCTGCAGTTCACCTCCAGGCTGCTGCCCCTCAGGATCGTGGCCTCCTGGGGGAACACGGTCAGCGTGGCACCTCCAGGGCCTGGAAGGAAACAGCAGGGACAGACGTCACTCAGATCCCCTCTTGGGCCCCGCCCTGGCTGGCTGTGGTGTGTGTGGGGGGGGGGGGGGGGTGCTTCTTTGTTGGAAGTTTTCAGCCTCGTCCACGTGTAAATACAAGGATCTGGGGGCTGGAGTGATAGCACAGCGGGTAGGGCGTTTGCCTTGCACGCGGCCAACCCGGGTTCGATTCCCAGCATCCCATATGGTCCCCCGAGCACCACCAGGGGTAATTCCTGAGTGCAGAGTCAGGAGTCACCCCTGAGCATCGCCGGGTGTGGCCCAACCAGCCCGCCCCCAAAAAAGGATCCATGGGACCAGGGCTATAGTTCAGTGGAGAGGGCACCAGCCTCAAATCCACATACACTCTCTCATCTTTGCCCCAAACCTCAGAAAAATTATGTGGGTCGGTCCAGAGCAATAGGACAGAAGGAAGGGCATTTGCTTGCACACGTGGACTACTGGAGTTTGATCCCCAGCAGCCCATAGGGTGCCCCCAAGCCCTGCCAGGAGCGATTCCTAAGTGCAGAGCCAGGAGGCAACCTTGAGCACTGCCCAGTGACCAAAACCAAAAGAAAAGAAAAACGATGAGAGCCAAGAGGATAATAAAGAACGGGTGTCTGGGGCTGGAGTGCTAGTACAGCGGGGAGGACATTTGCCCTGCTTGGTGTGGACCTGGGTTCGATCCCCGGCATCCCATAGAGTCCCCCAAGCTCCGCCAGGAGTGACTCCTGAGTGCAGAGCCAGGAGTAACCCCGAGCATTGCTGGGTGTGACCCCCCCCCCACCAAAAAAAAAAAAGGATGTCAGGAAGAACATCGATGAAAACAAAGGGGGCTGTGGGGGGGGGAGGGGGACACACAGGCACAGCACGGGTGACAAGGTGGGGATAAGGAGGAGCCAGAGTGATAGGACAGTGGGGAGGGTGCTGGCCGTGCAGGCCGCTGACCTGGGCTCGATCCCCGGCATCCCATAGGGTCCCCCGAGCCCCGCCAGGAGTCAGCCCTAGGTGTGACCCCCCCAGACAAACATAACCCTAAGGAGTGCGCTGAGGTCTGGGGAGACGAGTCCCCCCCTACCCTCTCACCCCCACAACTCTTCCACCCCCAGTTCCACCCCTGTACACCCGGATGTGACTCAGATCAAAAAACAGAAACCTAATGACCCCGGAGTGAGTGCAAAGGTCCCCAGGCAGCCCGGCTAGTGCGGGCAGGGCCTCAGCGGTAGGACAGTGGGCAGGGCACAGAGACAGGAGTAAGCCCTGAGCACTGCTGGGTGCCTTCCCCCCTCCCCAAAAACAAAATAAAACAAAACAAAACAAAAACCCGCAGACAGTGTTGACCTGGCCAAAGGCAAAACCTTCCCCCTGGGCACCTTGGGGAGTCACAGAAGATCCTGCCAGGGGAGAGCCCTCCACTTTCTCATCTGTGAAATTGGTGACTAAGGCCCCCTAAATGGCTCTAAAGCCCAGGGGAGGAGGGGCTGGAGGTAAAGCAGGGCTGTGTGGGGAGGAAGTGTTAGAAGTCTTGGTTCCCTGGCTACACCACAGGCCACCCACCTTTGAAGAGAGTGGGGGGGAGAGAGTACGTGGGGGGTAGCCACACCGCTTCTTCGGGCCCTGTGCTCAGGGATCATAGCTCTTGGCAGGGCGAGCGGGACACGGGACTCTGAGGTGTCGGGGATCAAATCCACATCAGCCAGCTGTGCGCAAGACAAGCGCCCTCCCCAATCACTGTCTCACTCCCACCCCCCCAACCCCACCCCAGTGTGGATTCTCCAAGGGTGACTCAACCCCCAGGAGGAGGAGAAAAGCTTCTCTAGAAGGTGCCAACCCCAGGGGGGAGTGAGGGGCACCACACCCCACTTCTGGGCACTCAGGGCAGCCCTCCCCCGCTTCCCCTCCTTCCAGGTAAGAGATGGTGGGGTAGGGGGTTGGGCACTGCAGACAGCTCCCGGCCCCCTGGGTCAGTGAGGCTGGAATTCCCCTGGATTAGAAGGATCAGAACTTCCTCAAGGGCTGGGAAGAAGAAAGTAATTGTGTGTGTGTATGTGTGTGTGAGAAGAATGTTTGTGAAGAGTGTGTGTGAAGAAAGTGTGTGTGTCTATGTGTGTGTTGGGAAAAAGAGTGTGTGTGTGAGTGTGAGTGTGTGTGTGTGTGTGTGTGTGTGTGTGTGTGTGTAGGGCAGGAAGGGGCTGCAGCTGGGCCCGGCGCCAGATTCCTTCACCTCCTGGGGTGCATAACCCCCGCACCCCCCAAAACCGTGCGTGTACCCCAATCTCCATCTAAGCCATTTTACGGTTCCAAGAACCCCCCCAGACTGAGCCCGCTCGGAGCCCCACTTTCAGTCGATGGCTCTTCACCCCACTTTTCCGAACCAGCCGCCCCAAGACCCTTCCCAGCAGCGGCGGGCGGGGCGCGGTCGGGGACCCGGGGGGTGCGCGGCCCCGAGCCCCGAGCCAGCCCGCAGGCGCGGGCGCCTCCCCCGACTCACCTGGCAGCAGAGCCGCGAGCAGCGCCAGGAGCGCGGGCAGCGAGGAGCGGGGGGCGCGGGGGCTCATGGCGAGGTGCGGGCGAGCGGGGACCCCTGCGCGGCGCAGACTGGGGCCGCGACCCAGCGCGTGGGGCGTCTTATAGCGCCCGGCTGGGGCCAAGGGGAGGCGCTGCCTTCCGGGAAATCTGGGTCCTTCCCCTCCGGGTCGAAGGCCCGGCATTTCCGGACGGGGGGAGCACGCCCGGCCCGGTGGTCCCCCGCTTGGGCAACGCGAGCGCCGGAATTTCCCGGCGGACAAAAGGAGCGCGCGGTGGCCCAGTGGCCCGTGGCAACCCGGGGGCGGTGCCCGGGCCGGAGACGCCGCGTCCCCGAGTCCCGCCAGCTACACCCCCCCCCCCCCCCCCGTCTTAGAAACTGGCAAACCCGGATTAGCTTCGCGGTGGCCCCACCCCCAGTGGCCCCTCCACAGAGGGCGCCCCTCCCCCAAGGGGGCAGGTCCCCGTGCAGCTGACCCCGAGACGCCGGCTGGAGTGGGCGGAGCAGGCCCGGACCACCCCGGGAGTCCGCGGGGCGTGGATGCGCGTGCGGAGAGCATCCCCCGCGCCTCGATGGGCGCCCCCTTCTCCCAGTCCCAGGCCTCGCTTCCCCTTTTCGGCCGAGGCCGGGCCGGTTTTGCTTCCCAGAGAACAAGGAAGGAAGCCCCCCCAACCTACCGCGTGACCCCGACGCGCCCGGCCCCTTAGCTTCGGTTCCTAAGAGCCCTGGGGGAAACTGAGTCAGCGGCCCGGGACGGCGTGTGTGGGCGGGTCGGGGTGGAGGGCAACAGAAGCCAGTGGTGTTCGAACCCTTGCTTTGAGCAGGTAACCTGAGGCAGCACCGGGCCCCCAGGTGGGGCTCGGATAAGCGGGTACCAAGAACGGAACCCGGGGCGCCTGGATGGAGAGCGCGCGGGGCGCTCCCGGACGGCCCCCAGGTCACGCCCAGGACACCCGATGTCCGTTTCTTGGGGACAAAGGCTTCCTGTTGTGGGGCGCGCGGCGCGTTGCCGTGGAGAGCTCCTAGGGGCCACGGGGTCACGCAGCAGAAGGCGAAGGCGGGGACTGCGGGGGACGTGCCGGCCTCTCCGCGCGCCCGTCTCTCGTCGCCCCCGATCGCGCCCTCCACCTCCCAGGCCGTTGCTCAGGAATTTCCAGGGGCGTCTTTCTGGGTGGTGTGCGGGGTTCCGAGGGGCTCCGCGTGGCGTGGGCACCCGCGAGGGCGCGGCGCCGGGGTGGCGCAGGGAAAGTCCAGCGCTGGCGGATGCTGTTTCGGCCTCGGTCTGGCGGGGCGGCCAGTCCCCGCGCTCCCCGTGCGCGCGGCGCCAGCGCCTCCGCGCGGCCAGGCCGGGTCTCCCACCCGGCGCGCGGCTAACGTGCGCGTCCGTCTGTCCGTCTGCGCGCGGAAAGGGAATCCTTTCAGCCAGCCGACCATTTTCTGGGCGGGGGCGACAGAGGAGCAGGAAATAGTCCTGCGAAATAGTCGCAGGACTTCTGCCCGCTCCCTGGAGAAAACCCCAGTCGGGAAGGACGTGGGCAGTGCGAACGCGAATGAGCTTTTCGGGTTGGTTTTCTCTCTGGCCCACGCCCAGCTGTGCCCAGGGCTGATTCCTGGCTCTGCCTCAGGAATCACTCCTGGCAGCCTCGGGGACCGGGGACCGTATCCCAGGGGCATGCAGCACGGCTTGGCCCCCTGCAGGGCAAACGCTCTCCCGGTAGTCTATTGCTAAGATCCCTGATGAACTTTTCGAGAACCTTTTGGGCCGCTTCCACTGGCTTGACTGGATTTGATTCAGTCCCTCCTCATGGTACAGAGTGTGGCCTCAAAATAAATTAAAAATAAAGAAAACCTCCTGGGTGGATCTGAGAGAACTTTGATCCGTTAACAGAGCGGTGTGACAGGAGCCGAGACTTACCAGGGAGGGATTCTACAGAGAACCAACGAGGTGAATGTGCAAAGGTCCTGAGGTAGATAGGAACCCTGGAGCAGAAGGAGGCAGGAGGAGTAGGTGCAGCCTTCTGGGCCCCATGCTTGGAGACAAGCTTGCATGTTTGGTTAGCGCACTGCCCCTGCACCCTTGGGATGGAATATCTGGTTGCAGTGTTTGCACACTCAGATACTCAGCCACGGTGTTCGCACGCCGGGGCTGGGATTTGCATAGTGGTGCTCACCTGGCAACAGTGTGTATGTGACATGTTCTTTTTAGGGGGGCAGGAGGTGCACAGGGCTTACTCACTCCTGGCGCTACACTCAAGGGGATTCCTCCCGGCAGTGCTTGGGGACCCTGCAGGATGCCCGGGATCAAACCCAGGTTGGGTGCCTGCAAACTACAGCCCTCGCCGCTGCATGATCGCTCCAGCCCCCCGTGCTCCAGCAGGTGCTAAGGCCTTCTGAGTTACCATCCTGGCCCTGCGTGGGTTCCCTACACACACACACGCACACACACACACAAACACACACACACACACACCCCTAGCCGTGCTCTTCCTGGTGTTCCTCCAGGACTCCCAGGCAGCGGGAGCACTGCAGGGTCTGTGGGAGGCAAAGGGATCAAACTCGGAGTCTCACGCTGAAAGAGCAGGTGCTTCTTCCCACAGAGCCCATGGCAGGTTCTGAGGGTGTCTGGGGCAGCTGCAGGCACTATCTTCAGGGGAAGGGGGTGCCCAGCTGAGGCCTGTTGGAGCCCGGAAGAACCCCACTTGTGTGTGTGTGTGTGTGTGTGTGTGTGTGTGTCTGTTGGCTTCGGTGCTGAGACGAGCTGGAGTCAAGATGATGCTTTTTTTCAGGGTCTGAGCCCCTGAGAGGATCAAGGGCCATTTTTTTTTTCTTTTTGAGTCACAGGGGTTACTCCTGGCTCTGCACTCAGAAATTACTCCTGAAGATGCTCAGGGGACCATATGGGATGCTGGGAATTGAACCTGGGTCGGCGCACGCAAGGCAAATGCCCTACCCGCTGTGCTATCGCTCCAGCTCCTCAAGGGCCATTTTGTTTCCAGGACCAGGACCATAGGACAGCGGGGAGGGCGTTTGCCTTGCATACGGCAGACCTGGGGGTTTGATTCCTGGCACCCCATAGGGTCCCTGGAGCACTGCCAAGAGAGATTCCTGAGCACAGGAGTGAGCCCTGAGCATCGCCCCTGCTCCAGTAAAGGGCCGTTTCCTGAGATGTGGTGGCCGGCAGGTTGGATTCCCACGCTAAAGTTTTCTTAAGGGAAGCGGAAGCAGATGTTTCACTCTGCTGCCAGGAAGGGTACAGTTTCCTCGAGGGTGCCAGGGAGTCTCGGCAGCACTGCCAGGAGCCCGCTGCTGGCTGGCACAACTCGCCCCGGCCACAATGAACAGGCACACTCCTTACTAAGGTGGTGGGTCAGACATTTGAGGGGGTAGGGAGGGGTCTGCAGCCATCTTGGGGGTCCTCGGCAGGATCAAGAGCCTCCAGGCCTGCATCCCAAGTTACCAGGGGCCCTTCGTAGGAACAGCGGCCTTGATTGGGGGGGCAGGTGGTGCTGGGGGTCTCATGTGCCAGCCTCACTCCACGCCCCTGAGCACGCAGGCTGCCGAACCTGTATCTCTAGCCTGGGAGGTGGCAGTGTTGGGACAACTTTGGGGGGACTCACGGCTGATTCCTGCCTCTGTGCTCAGGGATCACTCCGGGCAGGGCTTGGGGACAGCCCTTAGCAGTGCCAGGGATCGAACCCAGGTCAGCTGTGTGCAAGGCAAGCGCCCTCCCCGCTATACTGTGGCTCTAGCCTGGCTGGTTTCCTTTTGGGAAACAAAAGCAGGTTCCAGGGGGACTCTCAGCTTTGTGCTGGCTTGGGGTTCGGCCGTTATGGGGGGAGGGACCTTGTGGCATTAGGGATGGAGCCGGTCTAGCCCACACCGTAGGGCGAGCTAAGGCTCAGCTGCCGGCCCTGCTGGACACTCGGTGGGACTCTCTGTGTCCCCTTCCTGGGGCCCATGTCACTGTGATTCTGCCTCTGGGCTGGCTCAGGGTTGTTCCTCCCTGCAGCTGAGGACAAGGCTTTTTTTTTTTTTAACTTGGGTCACACCCAGCGATGCTCAGGGGTTCCTCCTGGCTCTGCACTCAGGAATTACCCCTGGCCATGCTTGGGGGACCATATGGGATGCTGGGAGTCGAACCCGGGTTGGCCGCATGCAAGGCAAACGCCTTCCCCGCTGCGCAATCGCTCCAGCCCCATGGGGACAAGGTTTTGAGGAACAGCCAGATGCCCACAGGGCCCATTCCTGGGGTCCCATGGCCCCTGCCCCTCCGGCTCCCTCTCTTCCTCCTCCCCTTCAGCCTTCCCTCTTTCCCCTCTCCCTCTCCTCCCTCCTTTCCTCCCCATCTCCGTCTCCCTTTTTCTGCCTCTGCCTCCCCCCCCACAATCCTCCTCTTTGTCCCCTTCAGGGGACCCTGTGGCTGGTGCCTTTATCCGGAGGGGAATGTTAAGTGGCAGCCCTGGTGGATTTGCTGGCCGTTTCTGGGGATGCTGGACAATCTTTTTTATTTTTTTGCTTTTTGGGTCACACCCAGCGATGCACAGGGGTTACTCCTGGCTCATGCATTCAGGAATTACTCCTGGCCGTGCTTGGGGGACCATATGGGATGCTGGGAATCGAACCTGGGTCGGGCCACGTGCAAGGCAAACACACTACCTGCTGTGCTATCACTCCAGCCCCTGGGCAACCTTCTTTCCTGGGCCTCCCTTGCTGTGTTGGGGCATCTAGACGGGCCTGAGGCTCAGCTGTGTTTGCCGAGTCCCCCCGCTGCCGGTCCTCAGCACAGGGGGCCCCAGCCCAGGCCTGCTGGACCTTCTTCTCCTTCTCCCTGTTTTTAGGGTGGGGAGGGCATGGGATCTTGCCAGGGGCGCTGAGGTCGAGACCTGGGGAGGTGTGGGACGTGGGAGACCAGGATTAAGCCAGACCTCCAGCCACCCATGAATCCTGGGCTCCCTGACCACGTCCTCTGTCAGCCCGGGGACTCCAGGATGGAGGAACTGCCCAGGTGTAGACCCCCTTTTTTTTTTGCTCTTTCCCTGTGTTGTTTTTAGACCTCATCCGGCGATGGTCAGAGGCTTCCTCATGGCTCTGCACTCTGGGATCAATCCTGGTGGTTGTAGTGACATGGATGACTGAATGGGATGACCGTCTGGGGTGGTTATATGGGAACTATCTGGGACACTGGGGGTCACACCCAAGCAGCCGCGGGCAAACAGGCCTCTCACCACTGGGCTGTCTCTGGTCTTGACCCACTTTTAAAACCCCCGTGGCAGGTGTTTCCGTGTGTTTGGGGTGAGGACTGGGGGCTGCCCATGGGGACAGCAGCTGCTTAACTCCCAGCTACAGTATCTAGAGGGTCTGCTGTCAGGACAACAGTGAACACATCCTTTGGGACTCAGTGTCCCTGTGGGGCCAACGAGAGGCTTCGCCAGAGGCAAAGGTCAGTTTGGCTTCGGTTCACACAGCAGAACAGAAGCGGTCATCGATGGTCTCTTTGTTTAATGCTCGTTTTCTGAAAATCTCCCAACTTGCCCAAGATGAAACAGGGGCTTCCCTGGAGCTGGAAGCCTGCGTCATGAGCAGAGGGGAGAAGGCAGCTGGAATAGAGAAGGGGTCACTAAGGAAATGATGGCTGGAGGAAGCGGTCGGGATGGGAGATGTGTGCAGAAAGTAGATAATGGACCAAATATGATGACCTCTCAGTGTCTGTACTGCAAACCATAATGCCCGAAAGGAGAGAGAGAGTATGGGGAATATTGTCTGCCATGGAGGCAGGGGGAGGGTGGAAGGGGGTTATACTGGGGATATTGGTGGTGGGGAACGTGCACCGGTGGAGGGATGGGTGTTTGATCATTGTGTGATTGTAACCAAAACATGAAAGCGTGCAACTATCTCACGGTGACTCAATAAAATTACAAAAACAATAGGGGGCTTTCTCCTCCAGGAAGTCCACGCCGCCCCGCAGTGGAGGAGTCCTGCCTCCCCAGCCGTTTCGCATCCCAGGACCAGCTCAACTTCAAATCCCTGGATTTAACTTAGTGTTGGAGGGGGCCTTGGCTGGCGGCCCTTCCTACCCCTTCCTGCTTTTTCCAGCCTCGCCCAGCTGGGTGCTCAGGGGAGCACTTGGTGTCGCAGTGGCACAGTGGCACTCGGGACCCCTTGACCTTCCCATCTGCCCCTGTGCGCCTCCAGCGCAGACCCGCCCCCCCTTCCTCCAGAAGCCTTTGGAGACGGAGTTTCTGTTCCCAGAGGCTGCTCAGGAATGTGCCTGGCGGTCTGGCCCCTGGGGTGGGGTCTGCCAGGCCTCACCTGAAATTCCTCAGCCACTTCAGACTATCGCAAAAATGCACTTTTGCGGGGCCAACACCCGTGGCTGGCCCCAGCAACTTGGCTCTAGTCTTTACGGAGGGGATTTAAACTATACTTAATTTTCTCTAAATCTGGGGCACTGTGACTCACAAAGGGGCTAGTCACAGCGTTTTGGGGTCTTTAGCGTGCCTCCCTCCAAGCCCAGGGGGGTGGCCTTGTGCCCACCCCCATTTCCTTAGCAAACTCATCTAAAAAAAAAATTTCCTTATTTAAGTTTTGGTCACATGGTCCTCCGGCTGTTGACTTTGGGTGACCTCACCCCTAAACCACCCGAATGCCTGAACAACCTTGATACTTTGGTGTTAAGTTTATATTTTTTTGGTTTGGAGGCTACATCCAGTGGTGCTTCGAGGACCCTAAGGGACGTCCAGGATCAAACCCAGGTCCAAAATGCATGCAAGGCGAGCGCCCTTTCCACTGTACTATCGCTCCCGTTTTTTGTTTTTCTTAAAAACATTTTTATTCGCACTTTCCTACCGCCTGCCTCGGGGTGCTCGGGACCCCATCAGCCCTGGGAGGGCTGGCACCGTGTCCCTGCCCCAGATGCCGACTCTCTCGGGAACAGCAGGGAGTTGGGCCCTGAGTGAGTGCACCCCACCTGTCTGAGAGTGGCGAGGGTCCCCACTGGTTGCCGGTTGGGGGGGTGGAGCCCTCCGGGCTTGGGCTGTGCTAAGCCGCATCCTGGGGTCCTGGAGCAAGGCCAGGCTCCAGAATAGGGGGCTAAGGGCCACTGCCCTGAGGGTCCTTTGGGGGCCCAAGGGGGAAGTCGCGGTAGGGCAGGCGGAAGGGGTAGAGTGGGGTATAGCGCGACCCCTGCCACAGCAGCTTCTGCTCCAGGTGCGCCAGCACGGGCAGCGTCAGGACCAGCGTCTGGTGCTTCAGCATGCTATGCACGTTCAGGCCTGTGGGGCGGGGGGCGGGGGTCAGGGAGGCCTGCCTCACCCTCCCTCCCTATACCGGGGTGGGGGTAGGGGGTCTAGGGCAGAGCAGGCAGGAGGAACCCCAGCCCCTCCTGGCTCCGCGGCGCCCCCTGGTGGCCGCCAGCGGGACTGGACTGCCGGCAGGGGCCCAAGAGCTGCTCCAGGTTTGGGGGCGGGGGTCAGCCTGGATATAGGGGGTGCGTGGGGCTGGGCTCACCAACTGCGGGCACCAGCGTGAAGGTCTTGAGGGCCGAGGCAGCCTCCACCATGTTCTGCGGCGTGTCCTCATACTCTCTGCAAGGCCCCGTGGCCGGGTGAGCAGCGCACAGGCCGGGCGGCACCTCCCGCTCCGCCGCCCTCGCCCACCCCCTGCACCCCTGCGCGGCGGCGCCCTCACAAGTCCACCAGGAGCACCGAATCCCCCCAGCGGCGGTAGCGCGCCAGCTCCGTCAGGTACTGGGGGTCTGCTGTGGGCAGCTCCAGGGAGTCCACGATGTGCAGGTTGTCCTGGGTGGGGGACACGACCATCTGGTCTGAGCACCCCGCAGCCGCCCACTTGCGCACCCCCCAACTCCCCCCAGATGACGACTCTGGGCCAAGGTGACTGGCTCCTCCCGCGGGCAGGGGTGGTACCTGGGCCAGCTTGACCGTCAGCGCCACGGTGAGGCCTTGCACGCGAACCTTCATGGGCAGCATGTAATAGTAGCTGGTGGGCCCCCGAGGGCCGTGGGCGACGCCCCCTGCGGGCACAAACGTGGGGAGGTGGTTGGGGGCCGTGCGCGCCCTCTGGCGGCCACTCGGGGGAACAGGCCGCAGAGAGCCCAGGGCTGGTCCAGGAGGGAGGCGGCCCCTGACCCCACCCCACTCCCCAATCAGTCCCAGAGGCTTAAATGAGCTGGGGCAGGGGGGGCGGCCAGGAGACAGGCTCAGTCCTGGCGATAGGAGGGCAGGGGGAAGCCGGAACCATAGTACAGCCGGGAGGGTGCTTGCCCACCCAGGTTCTATCCCTGGTTCTCCCATATGGTGCCGGAGACCAGCCAGGAGTGATCCCTGAGCACAGAGCCAGGAGCACCGCTGAGCACTGCAGGGTGTGGCCCCCAAACAAAAGTTTGGGCGGGAACTCCTGGTGCATTGGTGCCATGGGGTCACTACCAGGTTTAGCCCAACTGCAGCCCTGATGGGCCAGGGGGTGCTCTGTTTGTGGGGGTGCTCCAGGTGTGAGGGGGGGATACACTGCGATGGGAGCCCAGAATTTGCCCCCTGCCAACCCTCTGTAGGCGGCAGGGAAGATGGGTGGGAATCCCTTCCCTCACACCAACCGCACTCAGACACACGGGCAGGGGAATCGGCAACATGGGAGGCTGTGCCAGGGCCTGTGAGGGGACTGCAGGAGGGAGGGCTGCCTGGAAGAGGTGCAATGACTGTAATCCATCAGTCTGGTGGGAGGGGACAAGGGGGAACCGTGGGCATTATTGCTGCTACAGCTGGGTGAGAGCCAGATCGGAGTTGCTGCTGAAGGGGGTCTGGGGAATCTGTAACAGGTAGGGAGGGCTACTGGGCCCTGGAACCCTGGCCCGGCTCACCTCCTCGCCAGATGGGGGAGCGGATACTGCCATGCCGCGCCCGCCCGCTGCCCTTCTGCTGCCAGGGCTTCCGGCCTCCGCCCCGCACCTCTGCCCGGGTCTTGGTCTTCGCATAGCTCTGTGGGTTCAGGGGGAGGCGGGGGTCGGCTCAGGGGGCTAGGGTCACTGCAGCTCCGAAACACAGAGGTGGGTGGGGAAGGGCACCGAGGGAGGGGGCCTCTTCCCCCTCATCCACGGGGCAGCACTTACAATTCTCTTGAAGTTCTTCTGCCAGATGGCCACCTGGTGCAGGACATCCAGCCTGGGCAGGAGACAAGATCAGGGGTCCCCTCTGGTTCCCTATCCCCGCCTCCCCTCTGGGTACATGTTCGTCTGCCAGTTCTCTCTGCCCACAAAGTCCCTTCCGCCTGCTTCCTCCTCACCCCCGCCCAGAGAAGCCTCCTCGATTCCTTCCTCCCCTCAGCACCTGGCCTGGCCTTTCTCTCCTTAGAACTGATCTGACCCCAGCCAGTCTGAACCCACCTGTTCTGCGCCCACCGCTGACGAGCACCCCTATGGCCCGAGCCTCAGCGCTTCCTGGACTCCAAGAGGCATCCACTTAATACCAGTCTTAGGTTTTTTTTTTTTTTTTTTGCTTTTTGGGTCACACCCGGCGATGCACAGGGGCCACTCCTGGCTCTGCACTCAGGAATCACTCCTGGTGATGCTCAGGAGACCATATGGGATGCTGGGAATTGAACCCGGGTCGGCCGTATGCAAGGCAAACGCCCTCCCTGCTGTGCAATCATTACAGTCCCAGTCTTAGTTTTTGTTTTGTTTCGTTTGAGGGTCATGTACTCCGAGGGGTGGACCCTGGAACTGCCCGGAGCTGAGCACATTTCCAGACTTTGGAGCAATCTCCTGGGCTTCTTTTCGTTTTGTTTTTGGGCCACACCCAGCAGTGCTCAGGGGTCCCTAGGAGGGGCCGGTGACTAAAGGGTGCAAAGATGCATGCCCCTGTACTGTCTTTCCAGCCTGCCCCCCAAACTTAAGATCACATGTGCACTGCATGTAACGGGTACTGGACATAGCTGCTGGGGTCATCTGCCCAGCTGGCAAACCACAACCAAGAGGTCTGACGGGAGGCTGGAGAGATAGCACAGCGGGGAGGGCGTTTGCCTTTCACGCGGCAGGCCTGGATTCGATCCCCAGCATCCCATATGGTTCCCCGAGCACCACCAGGAGTGATTCCTGAGTGCAGAGCCAGGAGGAACCCCTGAGCATTACTGGGTGTGACTCAAAAAGCAAAAAAAAAAAAAAAAAAAGAGGTCTGACAGGCACATAAAGCCAGGGCTGGCGATGGCTCTGATGTAGATGTGCAAAGCAAGAGCTCTCGCCTTGCACGTGTGAGGCCCTGGGTTTGATCCCTGCACCATAAAATAAAACACAAACAGTACAGTGGGTAAGGTGTTTGCCTAGCACATGGCCAACCTGGGATGTTCCATCCCCAGCACCATCCCATAGGGTCCCCCAAGCACTGCCAGGATTGATTCGAATGCAGAGCCAGGAGTAATGCCTCAGCATTGGCTAGTGTAGCCCCCAAACAAAAATAAACAGAATAAAATGCAAACAGAGGGGCCAGACAGTACAGACAGCAGGGCACTGGCCTTGCATGTGTCCAACCCAGGTCCAATCCCCAGTACCTCAAAGAGTCCCCTAAGTCCCCCAGGAGTAAGCCCTGAACACTGCTGGGTGTGGCCCCAAAGCAAACAAATAAAGCCGCAAACAGACTATGTCAGGGCATATTAGATGTATTTATTAGTGCTCATTCTTACAAAAGCCATTAACAGCAATGACCTTCAACAATTTTTATTGTTCTATAGATGTGCCAGAGCCTGACAAACACAAGGCAGTCTTCCTACGACTGAGCTAAACCCCTCAACTTTGCTAAGTTCCTATAAGCTTGATTAACATCTTTTAACACCCTACCCCCTGCCAAGGGCTGGAGCAATAGCACAGCGGATAGGGCTTTTGCCTTGCACGCAGCCAACCCGGCGAACCCGGGTTCGATTCCTCCACCCCTCTCGGAGAGCCCGGCAAATTACCGAGAGTATCTTGCCCCCCGCAAAGCCTGGCAAACTCCCCGTGACGTATTCGCTATGCCAAAAAGAGTAGCAACAAGTCTCACAACTTGTGAGATGTTACTGGCGCCCGCTCGGGCAAAAACGATGAACAATGGGAGGACAGTGCAGTGCGTGCAGTGCTACCCCCGCCAATATGCCACTTCTCAGTTCTCAACTTCATACAAATCTGCGGCTGGGAAAAACGCCTCCCTGAGGCCGGTGATGGAATCGGGGCTCAGAAGCTCGGCTCTCTTCCATGCAAACAACCCGGCCCATCCTGATCCCTCAAGTCCCTCTCATTCTCCTCAGCTCATACTGACCGCTCTCACGCACCTGGGCGCCACGGAGAAGACGTCGGGGTGCAGCTCGGCCAAGCCCACGCGCTCCTGATCGTAGCCCCGGAGAGATTCGATCCAGGCCTGCACCGGGCGCCGGTGCGCAGGGACGGGAAACTCGCACTGGCGGAGCACCGGCGCCTGCAGCCCTGGGGCGATCGGGAGGTCGGGGGTCACAGGTTAGGGCATCAGAGCCCGAAGCACAGCTCCACGCCGCACCCCCTCCGAGGATGACACCCCGCAACCTCACCCGAGCTCGCCACCGGCTCGGACCTCTGCGCCGGCCGCACCGCTTCTTCCGTCCGCGCGGTCAGGCCCTGTAAGCCGTGGGCGAGCGTGAGAGGCCGTTCCCGCCGCTGCCCACCTTCGAACTCCAACCCCGCCCCCAGTGCCCGGCCTCACCCGGCAGCCCGGGGGTCGCAGGCAGGCCCGCGCCCCGGCGCGGACAAGCTGCAGCATCGCCGCACGCCGAGAGGTCACGGCGCGGCGCCCAGCGATGATGTCACGCCCACCAGCCGTCGCCCCCGTGATGACGCCACGCCAGCGCCGCCGCCTCCTGCCCTGCTCCGATGGGCTGCGGAAAGCCGAGCGGGCGAGAACGGCGACTCGGGGTCCGGGCCCGAGTGCCCCTTTTTACGCCCCAAGACCAGCACAAACTCCATCTCCCGTCCAGCACGAAGTGTCTCTGGCGACCCCCGCGCACAGATAGAAGTCCCGCCCCTCTAAAGGCTCGCTCTCGGGCCCCGCCCCCTGGAGAGCAATCCAGCCAGTCGCCAAAGGGAGTTCTTCCGTTCAGCCAATGAGATTGAAGTATGGCTAAATGGGCGCCCAGCGCTAGGTCTGGGGCGGTGCTTAAGGGAAGGTGGCCAATGAGTGTTCCGCTTTGGGTCCCTACCCCGCCCTCAGGGCCCCGCCCCCACCCGTCTCCACTAAACTCGCGGTTTCTCTGTAGCCCAGCCTTTTTGTTTCTGCGTTTTGTTTGTTTGGTTTTGGAGAGCTCAGGGATCGCGCTTCCCTCTTTGCCTAGGGGCACCACAAAACTTCGTGCTTTGGGGGAGTATGCGGCATGTCCACCAGGGGGCGAGAGAAGCACATCCCTGGCCTCCTGTGTTCTCTGGAGGTCGGGGGTCACAGGTTAGGGCATTAGGGCATCAGAGCCCGAAGCACAGCTCCACGCCGCACCCCCTCCGAGGATGACACCCCGCAACCTCACCCGAGCTCGCCACCGGCTCGGACCTCTGCGCCGGCCGCACCGCCTCTTCCGTCCGCGCGGAAGAATCCAACTTGTAGAATGTGGGTCCTGCCGGTGGCTGACCTGGGTTTCATCCCAGGAAGCACCACATAGTATCCCCGGAGTACGGCTAAGAGTGATCCCTGGGTACAGAGTCAGAAGGAAACCCAGATTACTGCACGATACCCCTTTCTTCCCCTGCCCATGAAGATGTGTGAGCAGGGCTGGAGACATAGTACACACAGCAGTGTACTATGCCTGCCTTGCAACCATGTGGTTTTGAGTCCAAATCCCCGAAGTCCCAAATGTGCTCTGCACACACACTCAGAGGTTTAAGTGGGTATTTTCTGTGTATGAAGCCTAGGTGTTTCTCCTTGGTTCTATCAGTTTCCATGCTATTTGGCACACCCTGGCCTGCCAGTCTTTTTTTTATGCCACTGATATGTTCAATGATCTTTGTCTTTTTCTTCGTTCTCCAGTCACAGGTGGCTGAGTAATAACTGCTGCTTTGCCTGCCATTCTCCGGGGCACAGGTGTGGGGTCAAAGAGGAAGTTGTCCCCTGTCCATTTTTGTTTGTTTTTTGCTTTTTTGGTCACACCCAGCGATGCTCAGGGTTACTCCTGGTTCTGCACTCAGGAATCACTCCTGGCGGTGCTCGGGGGACCATATGGGATGCTGGGAATTGAATCTGGGTCAGCCACGTGCAAGGCAAATGTCCTACCCGCTGTGCTATTGCTTCAGCCCCCCCTCCCCCCTCCATTTTTATGCATTGTTTATCCCCAGGCTTTGCTCTTTCTATGACCTCTCTGGCTGTTTACACCTCATGGAGGTGAGATTTAAAATGACCAACTGAAAGTCCGGAGAGATAATAAAGTGGAGAAGAAGCTTTCCTTGTATGAAGCTGACCGGGTTCAGTACGGTCCCGCGAGCCCTATCAGGAGTGATCCCTGAGTGCAGAGCCAGGAGAAAGAGGGGAGCACAGCCAGGCGTGGTAAAAAAAAAAAACCCAAAATGACCAATGAAGAGGTGAGAGAAATAGTAGAGCGGATAGAGGCGCTTCCCTTGCATGTGGCCACCCTGAATTTGACCCCTGGCCACCACCTTGGGGCCCTTGTGCAGGCTGCCAGGAGTGATCTCTGAGCACAGAGCCGGGACAAGCCCTGAGTGAGCAGTGTGTGAGCCCCAAATACCCCTCCCCCCACAAAAAAGCGTCCTTTTTTTTAGGAGGTGGGATCAAACTGGTCCTGCCATGGACAAACAAGCTCCTTAACCCCTGGCCTATCTCTCCGGCTCCCTAAATGCCTGTTTCATGAGTGAATCCTTTTCTTATCTAGTTGAGGGTTTTTACCAGAAGCCAAGAAAAGCTGTCCCTTTGTCTCCTGAATCTCAAGGTCCCTATTCCCCTGAGGTCACATAGGAGCCCAATAAACAGTTCTCCCCAGAGCTCTGATTCACAGACACCCTCTCCCCCACCCCAGCACCCAAGTGGCTAGCTTTCCCAGCCTCTGGTGCTCTTCCCTAATAAATGGGAAACCTTCCCCTGAGGAACTGGCTGGGATCACAGCTCTCCCTAGCACCCTTTCTCCCTATATTACCCCTCACCCCCCACCCCCTGCTCAGAAAGTGACCGCCCACTTCACAGAGCAAAGACCAAAGTCCCCATCCATCCCCCACCCCCTGGCCCAGAGGCTTCCCGGGCTCAGCCTCCTGCCAGCCCTGGTCAATTTCACGTCTGGCTCGTTAGCTTCACTCCAGCTTTGGTGGAACTGGGACTGTTCTCCCCTAGACTTCAGGCCTTTTCCACAGTGTCCCCATCCCAGGTGACCCGGGGTGAGACAGCCCTGGGCCCCTGCTCACCCTTCTCTCCTCCTCTGCCTTCCCAGTTTTTCATTTGTTTCCAGAACGTTCACTGTGTGCTCGGAGACACTCTGTTCTTACCCACGCTGCTTTTTTTGTTGTTGTTTTTGGCTGTCGGTCAGTGCCGGGCAGGGGATATGAGGTGCTTTGGGTACTGGGGATACCCCAGGCCACTCTGGCAGGCCCCTGGATGGTGTGGGGCTTGAACCCAGACAGCTGCTTGCAAGTCAAGTTGCAATAACGTTGTAGTAACATTATTAACAAAAGGGGGTTGGTGCTCTGGATCCTAATCACTCAGAGAAACCAGTTTGACCCCTCCTGATCTTTACTGGAAGTCCCAGCACCCATGGACGCCAGCTCCTAGGATCAAAGGCTCGGGCGCAAGGGACCTTTGTGCCCAACGGTGCAGGGCCAGCCAGCCTTGCTGCCCAGACAGATAGTTCTTCCTTGGCTCCGGGCATCATGGTGATCGCGGGCACGGCTCCCCTCGGAGGCTGGAGTGCCTGGACACTGGGACTGTGCTAGCCCACTCCACCAGACCAGAGTGTGGGGCGGTGCAGGGCTGTGGGGTGGGCCCTGCATGTGGTGGGGACCAGCTACATAGTACCTTAGGGGGATGGGTGAGGGGAGCCTTTTGCATTGGGGGATGTGGGGGCGAGGGGGCTGGGACACGACATACTCGTGCCTCTCCCCCAACTGCCAAAACATCTGCTGGGTGTTTGTTTGCAGCTGGGTTTGTGGGTAACCGCCTGGTTGTGCGGAGGAACAGTCAGTGGAGCCCGCCCCCAGCCCCTGGGGCGGGTCTTGGGTTTTGCATACACCTTTTTGTCAGCTTTGGTTCCTGTCTCCTCTGTGGCCTGGGCACAGAAAAATCATAAACTGGGGGAAGGAGAGATGACAGCTCAGAAGTGAAGGCACTTTTTTTTTCTTTTTGCGTCACACCCAGAGATGTTCAGGGGTTACTCCCGGCTCTGCACTCAGGAATTACTCCTGGCAGTGCTCGGGGGACCATATGGGATTCTGGAAATTGAACCCAGGTCAGCCGTGTGCAAGGCAAACGGCCTCCCCCACTATAATATGGTTCCGCCTCCTGAGGGCACTTTCTGGCATGGGGTGGACATTGGTTCGAACCCCTGCCCCTCACCTCATAGGATCTCCCGGGGCTCTCCAGGAGTGATCCCTGAGTGCAGAGGTAGGAATAGCCTGAGCAGTGCTAGGTGTGGCCAAAAAAAGGCGTGTGTATTTGGCTGTGGGGGGGGGGAATGTCACACACCTGTACGCTCCGGGAGACCATGAGGGGTCTAGGAAAAATGAGGTTAGTAGTATGTAGGGCAAGTGCTACACCCCTGAACTATCTCTCCAGCCCCTTCAACATATTTTGCTTTAGGGTCACGCCCAGAAGTGCTTAGGGCTCCTGGCTCTGCACTCAGGGATCACCCCTCGCAGGGCTGGGGAGATTGTATGGGGTACGGGGTGTCAGGGATCAAATCCGGGTCAGCTGAGGGAAAGGCAGGGGCCCTACCTGCTGCCGCCCCTCAATTTGTTTTTTTGTGCCACACTCAGCAATGCTCAGGGGATCATATGGGATGCCGGAAATCAAACCTGGATCTTCTGCATGCAAGGCAAGCCCCCTGCCCGCTGCACTATGTCTCTGGACCCTCAAAATCTTTTTTGAGGGGGAGGGGTGTCTCAAGTGGTGCTCAGGAGGCCTGGGCGGGGTCCCCCTCAGCAATTCCCAGCCAACCAGGGTGGAAGAAGCCTGGGGTGATGCTCTGGATGCAGGTGTTAGGAATTTCCCAGGTCACAATGCACTGCTGGGTGTCTGGGTGGGGAGGCACTCCCTTGCCCACCCTACGATGGTTTGGAGACCCCATGTTGCTGAGTCTAATGAGCCTGGGCACTCTCTAAGGAGCCCAGTTCCTTATTTTTCATTTTGGAAGACAAAAAAAAAAAAAAAAGCCTTTTTCCCTTTCCCTTCCCCTTTCGGCGTTTGTTGCAAAGAAGCCCAGGAAACTAGAATTTTGGCTGCTGTTGCTGAAAACTCGCGCACTTGGTTGTGGCAACAGGGACTCAAACAGCAGAACTGCTGAGATCATTCTTCCCCCCCTCCCCGCCACCCCGTCATAAGGCTGGATCCCAGTCAGGCACAGCCCAGGATGTGTCTCATTTGCATGAAATGTAGGGGACCCCCCCCTCTCACGAGAGGGAGGGTGTGCTGGCGACTCTCTCGGCCTGCTGTGCACTCAAAGGGCTGTGCTGGGGTGCCAGGGATGGAACAGACAAAGCCTTGGCAGCCCTGAGACCTGAAGGCCCCCAAGATATTTACAAAACACTCAGGTAACTGATATATCCCCTGCTTAGATGTAGCGACTTGGGAGAAGAAAGTGTTTCTAGTGGCTCTGCTAACTGATCTGGTGGCTGGGGAGGTGGGGGTGG